GCGCACATGGGTATAGGGCTTTGGGTTGATCGGATCGTAATCGTTGAGCTTGTAGCCCCGGCGTTCCTTGGGGCCCTGGTGCTGAGCCGGAAGAATAGTTGTCCAACCGGTGTATTTAGGGTCTGCGATCTCGGCATCTGTGACCTCACTGCCTTCTGGCGCATAAGTTCCCTGCAGCCCAGCTTTCTCGCCGTAGTTACCGATGAAAAAACCTGTATCAATCTCGACACCTAGAATCGCGGCACTGGCGACACCCAATTTGATCACGACCCAGTCGTAGGGCTCGGGATTGTGGCGGCGGGTTTCCCAGCCATCATACCAGGCGCCCGTATGGATGAAAACACCGGGACGGTTGATGGGGTTTGTGGGGGTGAGGAGGTTCGACGCCTTGGAAAACCATTCATTGGAACAAGAAAGGACCTTGCTGTTAAGGCCAGAGGAGGCCAAATTGGTAGTGTGCTCGAACACCTTGTCGATCTTCTCAGAGGGGACGAAAGTGATCTTATCGGCCATGGTAGGGTTGGCTGATATAGTTGCAAAAGATAAAAGAACTCTGAGTTGACCCGGGGGGTAGATTTGGGATCGAATCGAGATTGAAGAGTAGAGCAGACGCAGGCAGTCTGCAGAGGAGCAAGGCAGACTCCCATCTGGGGCGACGATGGCGGGCTAAATAAAGAGCAGTTGGGAGAGACTTGGACGATAAGACCCCGTGATTGATTGACGCTTTTGGCTCAATTACTCGATCTTATCGCTTCATCAAGCATCCATGTACACCTATACACCCTCATCTTGTGGATTTCCTTTAACTACTATCATGAACAGATCATTGGACTCGTCATTTGACTAGAGTGTTACCGTGTTGGCTACCTCTCCACCTCCCTGTTTACTGTCATGGTTCCTTTTTGATTCATGGCCTCCAGATAGCTCAGTCGACTCAGATATTTCATCTTCTTGTCGCGTGTCGAGTCTCCACTATTTCCAACAGACTTGGTATACTTCCCACGATTTCCTTTGGTAACACTGTTTCCTGATGATACAGGTGTTTCTTGTCTAATCATCCAACACATCCCCCTCTTTCATCCAGTGGAAAACGAACTCAAATTACTGGGAGAAGCTCATCTCTACATTGTGGGCAGACTGAAGGCCGAAAGACTGGCCCTCGAAACTGGTCTTTCCTGACCACCATCGCATCCGGAAATAATCATTCTTGGGCCCAGGATGTCGGCGACAAGGTGTTAGATTGCCATCACACATTACAGATGCTGATATCCTTCTGTACAGATGAATTCTATGGGACACCAGGAGAAGGGATAGGTAAGATCCAACAATGGAGATACGTAACTAAACACAGGTTCCATCGGAGACGATCGTTGCCCTTGAAAGTAGACTGCCCGGAAACTGTTACCTAGTATTCGAAACTTCACATGCGAATATCACGTACACATACTTCTTCTGCATGCGTGGGACGATCGATGAAGACAAAGCATCAAGGATGACTAAAGTTCTCAAGACTTGTATGCAGAGAAATGTGGCAGAACCAAGCCAGGAATATTCACCGAACGACTAATAGGTCCAACAGGCAACTAAAGATACCTCTGAAAGAAGGGACTTGCTGCCCTTGATCAGATGATGATGCAATGTTCATGTACCACAATGTGGGTCATCTGAACCACTTCAACAACCACACAATGATAGTGGACGTATTTGCTTTCCTATTCATCCCCTTACTGTGCGTACAATGGGTGGATATCAGGGGAACCTCTCGAAAAGCCGAAGACGTGGTGGGGTTGGCACACGGCTCATCTCCTTTGCACCTATGTCCGACCACCGATCGTCCAATGGAGACAATCGGTTGACACAACTGACGCCGCTGGTCCTATGTAATGTGTGCTGATATGTTAGCTGTGAGCGATGATTGAACGGTACCGGAAGGAACAAGACACTGTTGGTTGTACAAGCAACTCGGGCCGTGGCGGTCGTCTGCCAGTATTATAAGACCGTGTAACCCCGAGTGATGCTGGCTCTTGCAATCTCGGCTGGATATCTCACTGCCAGTGCTACGTCTAACGTGAAAGAGAAGCCCACTTCATCCCCAAGCCGTATAGAACTCCACATTGCTGACTACGCCATAGCACGCGCTGTCTTTTGAACCGTCCAAAGGGGTTACTTGTATATACCAAGCCTTGGCGTGGTGCCTGCCATCAGGAGCAAAGGCTGCTATCGGAAGGGTAAGGGCCATCAGACAGTTCATCCTGGCAAGGCGTGGCTTCAGCATCGTAACGAGAATCACCTCTGGCCCTATCGGACATTATTGATATGGCCTTTGTATACACCCTTGACACTATAGCATCCAGTGTTAATATCAGGGAAGGTACCTGCTCGTAGCAGGTATCTCTCACGATGCAACGCAGATTGACATTCATGTCTCGTACGTAGGGTCCACCACCACTCGGCAATTCTAAGGTCATACAACATACCGACAGTTAATCGCGGCTATGACTTCGTAATTTTTTTGGGACAATTTTGAGATCGCAAGTCAGGGTCATCACTCTCTGCACTGGAAGCATTTGTGTCACCGTTTGCTGCTTGATTGCTGATGTATACTGTTACGTGCGCGATGAACGGTGGCAGATCGAAGGCTAAACACTCACTGAGTTGCTCATTAGCTGACAATCCGCTATAGAATGTCTCGTGACACTATACTGACCGCTACACTCACTGATAATTCTACCCATGGAGCATTACGTGTCTCTGACAAGCTTGATTATTCGATTCCTGGAGCCTCCCTGGCTTCAACCGTTTCCTGGAAATAATGACTGTACTCGCCTTCATCCAGTATATATTTCGCAGTTGAAGCATGTAGTATCGTTACAGTTGTGCCAGCCCGGAAGGTTTATTATTGAATAGTCCTCCACAGCATCATCGAGCATAAAGGGCAAACCTGTGGTCATTTCGACAGCCAGTCAATGAAGAAGGAAGCACGCGAGAAGTATCGCGATAGCCGCCATCGTCGCATGTAACATGGAAAGGACTCGAACTACAAAAGGATTGGACCGAAAACTTGAGCCAGATAAAGACCCAGGAAGAAGGGAAGTAGGCTACCGAGATAAGCGCAGATATAGACACAACGGGAGTTGGATGCAAAGCCAAGAAAAAGCTTGAAAACCAACCTTACTTGGCAGTCATACTGACGTGCAAAGGCACTTGTAGAGTGTTACTGTTCCTACACCCCTGTTTTGATGTGGCAACCTGGGATAGCTGCTGTGCCATGCTATGCCAGGCTCTAAATAGATTACAACCTTCTTCCTGACGCTGTCTTACTAGATTGGCAACACAACCGGAACACAAAATAATGTCTCCACCGAGATATATCCAAGAATCCACACCTGATGGCACCGCATACGCAAGGACCCATTTACTCAAGCTAGGGCACATGATCACCGTCGGATGGAGGCATGAACCGCAATTCCTTATCTCTGGGGGCAAATACCTAGATGACCATATTTTCCTCAGTCCAGAAGGGACTCGTGGAACGATGAAGGGTGCCATGGACCGTGGGACAGGGTTCTGACGGTCCCTTTTCGTCGGAAGTGATCGACTTCGGCGCCGACCATACTGATCATGGAATGCTTTGGAACCAACGCGTTGGCGACGAACGGATTGGATCGGCTGAACTGCCAAGCTCTGTATGTCTCATATACTAAAGTATTGATTAACTGAAAGACCTCCAGACGCGATGCCTGTCTATTTTCAGCGGCCAGCAGCTCAGGGTGACACGACAACGCATTGAGCGGCTAGATACATGTTGGTCGAAGATGACCGCGAATAGGGGATTTAAAAGGATGTATTTCATAAATAGCAAAGTCAAACCCCGTCGAATCGCCCGTTTGCAAAGTTAAAAAAGAAAAAAGAAAACCAAAACAAAAGTTTTCCTGGGTATTCATCCGTGCATTCGTTTGCCTCAAAATATGGAGCCCGAGAACTGAGCTGCACCCGGGATCCCAAAGGATGTGTGGACTCGTACAGGTATCTCATTGGCATTCCACGATACATGTAGCTTGCTTCCTCGAAGTAATCTTCTCTCGGTCTCTCTTCATATCTTCTGGCCCATGTGTAACCGACGAATCGCATGGCCTCCGCCATGTTTGGTCGGCCCGTTCACAGTCTGATGCATGTAGGTTTGTAACCCCTACATATGCGAGAAACATCGCGGTGACAGCGTCTGAGCATGATAGTCGTCATTCCGAAGCCGGTGCCTTCAAGAGATACCGTGCCCACCGACCAGATTTCCACAGATAGACGCCGGTTGCGCCGGTATTTTCCAGAGGGTGGCACAATCTGGCCCGAAGAGGCAACTTACAAGTCTCTCTTCGTCATCAACAGATAAAGAATCACAAGACATTGGCACAAACGGCGCCCGACACAACAGCACTTTCGGTGAGGAAGCATGGCTTTTCCCTCGTCCGTCTCTTCTGGTTCTCATTGGACCGTCTCGTGGACCGTGGGATGTATCCGGTGGCAGTCCCGGTATCACCATACTGGATGTCACCAGTGGGCCGCGGGGGCTATAAAGCTCCTCTACGGGGGATGATGCAAGACAGGACGGTGGACCCTTTGCATCTGAGCTTTAAAAGGAGACTGAGCTGAAGTGGCCTTGCAATTGTCACGCTGAGATTCTTCTTTTCTTTTCCCTTTCCTTCTTCCCCCGTACGTCAGTGAGGGTGATATCCAGACAATTTGTCTCTCGTCTACAGAGCTTCCCATCTTCTCAGCCAGCCTCGTATCCTTCAATCCCTCCACCAGCGTCGCCTCTACCCCCACACCCAAGCTTCCATTCGCTTTAGACTAGCCATCAGAAGCGCCGCAAAAAGTCTCAAAAGCCTAAAAACCATTCATTATGCCACCGAGATCAACTCATCAAACCCCATTACCCGAAGGCGACGGCGTTACGTACGACGAATCCGACATGGCCCTCTTTCGCGCCAAGCTTGCTTACCACTCCACCATCGAGGAACGCATGGCATCGAGAGACACCAATCTGGTCTCCATTGCAGAACACCAAGGCCGGCTCCTCAAACGGTGGGAGATGTTGAAAGGGGTGGAGAAAGAAATGGCAGATAAAGGCAAGAGTTTAGAGCCCGCGGAGAAGCAACAACTAGCCCAGTACGCATGGCGATTCAAGACATTGGAAGGATTAGCGACCCAAAGAGCCGGTTGACCAGAGAGGCTACGCTGGGAGCGAAAAGCGTCATCACGGAGTCATTGTGTGATAGCATTCATTGGCGTCTTGCTTAGATTTCTAGGAGTAATTACCATGCAGTTGTCTTGTCTATTTACCTATCAGCGATCCCTGGATTAAGATTCTCTCGTAATCCTTCCCCCCCACATCTACGTAGGTTTCAGAATGTGGATGGGGTTGCTACCACGTCGATGTCTTTCGAGACGAAATGCGTCTGCAGACGTCGTCATGGACGTAACACACTGATGGGGTTGAGAGCGTCAGAGTGCCGCATGCAGCGAATCGCTACACAGCCGTTCAAGCTACAGTGTGTCAGCGATGGGGGTGCTCAACAGCTTTCCCATCTTGCCACACTCTTTTACAATAGCACAGCACCCTGTCGTGGCTTTTGGCACCGTGAGAGGGTCTACCATAGCACCATCTGCCCAGATTACAGATCACCCCGCCTACTGTGCAGTCCGGTACACCTTGATCTCGTAGATCTTGTTGCTCTTCCAGCTAAACTCATTGACTGAAACCTGAATGCTGTATGCTTTTACAACTCCCGTTCAAACCACGCCAACCATGCATTTATATACACCCAAGATACTCTCACAAAAGATAAGTCACAATCCCAATCCAACTTCTATTCCACATAAGACACAGACATCCCAATCCCCTACACAGAAAACACGTTCCCTAAGTAACCGACCTCGCAATCACCCTCCTTCCCCCCTCCCCACCTCACACAATCCGCAGGCGGGTCCTGAAGCCGAACATGACATCCAGACGGCGCACACCGCGAAGGCTGCAGCAAAATCGACGGCGGCGAACATTGATCCCCCGGGGCCCAAACACGAGGCAGACAATACCAGCGCCGTAGTCGGACCAAACTCGCTCAGAATGAAGTTCCATGGATCCTCTGGGATGCTGGCGCCTGCTTGAGTCATTCCTCTCAGGGTGAGGAGTCGAGATACGTGGTTTTGCAGTTCTGTCCAGTCGTGACCGAGGGGTCGGTGGGGGATGCCCAGGTTATCGGTGTGTTTCCAGAGGATAATCATGAGGGAGGAGATTATCTGGGAGATCTCGTGTTGGGCTTTAGCCATTTCGGGGAATTTAGCCGGGGTCTGAAGGTTGGGATTGGATGTGGGGTACGTCAAGGTAGTGTGTGGAAGCCATGGTATTTGGGGGGTAGCGTGGTGATCGCATATTGTGGGCTTTGGGGATCTGGTAGGTGGTGCTGGTTGTGAGGATAGAGGCTATATGATTACTAGGCTCGCGGCACGGTATTGTGTGGACTGTTCAGGTTAGTGTGGTGGTTTAGTGATGGTATGGCTGTCTAAGCACTATGGTATCCTTTTTTAGAACAAAGAATATTGAATCGAAGACGGAAGGTTCCTGTTGATATTGAAGTGGAGGAAGATTGCCGGTTCTGTGATATCTGAGGGATAGGCCGGCAACGTGACGACTAACTCAATAGAGAGGACCACATAGTATACCTACTTAGAGATGCTAGCCTGAGGATGCCAACGGTAGGATCCCAATCTTCTATCGTAGTAGCGCAAAGGCTACTCTGATTCACCCCTCACGAAGGAACTAATTATCAATCGTGGCTCGGAACAAGGTTGCCGGGAATGAGGGGGTGTCCCGCTATAAAGTAATGGATATCCTCGGGTTCTCCTCATGGCAGGAAAACACTATACATCTCGCCCCAAGAAAAATTTTAGATTGTCAATAGACCTAGACACCCTCATCATGCATACCGAAGCTCCTGAGCTCCCTAAGTTAGTCCTCCGGGGCACCCCCAAAGAGGTATGCGCATCTAACATGACTTTACCACGAGTGATGGTTATATAACAGTCGAGCAGATTGGTCTCCAGCATGGCTACCGTCTGCAGCAGCAAATTAAGTCTCAAATAGCCATCTACGAAGAGATGTTCGAGTACACCAGCAAAATGGACTGGCCTACGGTCCTCCAGCTTGCGGAGGAATTCCGAGCCTCCCTGGAGCGCAAAACGCCTAGTTTATACGCCGAGCTACAGGGCATAGCGGAAGGGGCAGGAGTAGGCATCCTGGATATCGTAGCATTGAACTGTCGGAGTGAAATATCGCTTGGGAACTTTTCAGATGGATGCACGAGTCTTTCGTGGAAAAAGAACGACAACGCGCGAATTTTGGCACAGAACTGGGATTGGACCAGCAGCATTCAGAAGAATCTAGCGTTGATGGACATTGAAATATCGGGAAAGCCGAGGATCTGTATGGTCGCCGAGGTAAGCTGCTCCGGCATCTGGAAGCACGATCAGTTCGTCTGTCTGACGTCAAAAAGGCAGGTATCATAGGAAAGATTGGATTCAATAGTGCTGGCGTCGGAGTTGGCCTTAACGCTATAAAAGCTCGACCTTGCATTAGCTCCAAGGTCCCGATTCATGTTGCTCTCCGCTTATGTTTAGAAAGCACATCTGTTGAGAGCGCAATACAGACTCTCTCATCTCTGGGGGGTGTAGCTTCGAGCCAACATATCCTCATCGCCGACAGCACGACATCCCTTGGTTTGGAGCTCTCGCCCTTGGGAGACGTACACATAAAGGAGGATGAGTATGGCGTGATCACGCATACCAATCATTTTATCGAGAACAAGAATGTGACGGAGCCCTCCTGGATCAAGGGCTCACCGGCTCGCTTAGAGCGAGCTCAACAGCTCGTCCGCGAGTTGGTCAACAATGGCATTCAGGGCGACTCGATCACACCCAGCTTACTCCGGGAGCAGGTTTTCTCCGATACCTGCAATGCGCCACAGTCCATATGTTCTCAGGAGGACCCGAGTACTCATCACACAAGGCGCACTTCTACGTTGTTTAACATTGTGATGAATCTGGACAAGCAGGACCTTGGGGCGGAAGTTGTTGTTGGTCAGCCGGGATCTGGCAAGGAAAGTCCCGTAATAAAGATGCCTTGGATGTGAAGATGCTGTCGTGAGCCCTCGCTATATGCCTGTTGGTCTTTCAGCATACAGCATGGCAACAAGGATTGCACGATTGCTGCAAAGAACCTCACGCATCTTAGCGGATAGACGACCAAGTATCTGCCACACTCTAATGACATTCTTTGTCTATCTCAGACAAAGTGAAATACTTGAGGTCGACCCGCTGGGACAAGGTCATTGTCTGCACATGTATATAAAGCCGATAGGGTAGGTTTCCAATATAGATCCTCATGTTCTACAGAAGTTTTGTTCGAGCGTTTCGTTCGCTCCTGCTGCCTTTCCCGCAGTTCTTACAGTTATACATCGCATATTGTACGGCAACACGGGCCATATACATCCCATTACCGGTAGAAGGGCAGCATGGCACCTGGTCTCCCGCTGAAAGGCATGCGCCGGACACTTTCTATCATGAAGCGTCCAAGACACACTCCGTTCGATGAGAAAGGAGATTCTACCAATCAGGATGGCAGAGGAACGATATCCAAAACTCCAACGCAGCAGACTGGGGGACAAAACCAAGGCGTAGAGACCCGTACCCTCGAGCACCAGACCACAGCCCGGCAAGGTAGCACCTCTTGCGCAAATTCAGAGGGGCGGCTCCGTGCGTTAAGTGCACTCTATCGGTCTGAATTGGAGGATTCAAGGGACGACACCAACATTGCCACCGAAGAGGAAGTGGAATGTATAAATGAGCAGTTGCCGGAATGCTTCTGTCTTCGGTGTTATGGCGATTGTCGGAATTGTTTGAAGAAGGAAGAGGTTTATGACGGAGGTGATGTCGGTCTTACATGATGGATATCCAGATGCAGCTCAAGTACCAGCGATGTGGAGATACTTGGGGACCCGCGGGTGGCATTAAGCATGGCGGGTACTTTGGCATTCGAGGTACCTCCGCTGCCCCACATCACTGCATTGCCAATCGAACGCCTCGAATTCGTCATTACCAACTAATACTACTATATCTTTGCGTCTTCTTCTTCTTCTTCTTCTTCTTCCCCTCCTTCCCCTCCACTTTCTCACCGCTTATGTGTAGACTTAGCTAGTCCTGAGAATCGCATCTTTTCTTCCAACATATATTGTTTTGGTAAACTATAATGGCGTCTGCCACCGGGATTCCCCAGGAACATCGTCAGACTATCGAGGCCCGAGAGGACGAGCCGCTGTTGGGCAGACCGGGCGATGTCGTCCAGAAAGAGGATCAATATATCATCTACAATCTATTCACCGGTTAGATCACCTCCTGAGGTTCATGAGAGAATAGCGCAAGTTAACGGATCGTCTGGTTTCAGGAACGGCCAGCCTGGCACAGTTTGGAATATGGATTGTAAGCCCATGTTTTTGTACCCGAACATCTCACAACTGATGATTGACTGGGACGACTTCAGATCGCCATCCTGGTCTGGGCAGGTATCTTCTCCCATCCGCTAATACTCTTTTCTGCCCATCCGGTAAGTCCAGTCGAACGCGTGAGGTTTGCCGCAAACACAACACAAGCTGATGATAGAAGCTCCTGAACTCATCTGCGCTGCTCCTCCAGGTGCAAGCTGCACTTATCCTCCAACCCACTGCGACACCCCAGCAGAAGCTCAAAGGAGCGCGCATCCATTACGTCATCCAGGCCGTCAGTGTGGCGGCCTTTATCGCGGGCTTCATCGTCATCGAAGTCAACAAGGGCAGCCATGCACGCTTTACCTCGCCTCACGGCGTGATGGGCTTGATTACCTACAGTCTCATCATCATCCAGGCCGCCGGGGGCGTCATCCAGTACTTTGTCCCGGTTCAGGTCTTGGGCAGTGTGGAGAATGGTAAGAAGCTCTACAAGTATCATCGTCTGTCGGGGTATGTCTTGCTGCTTCTCGAACTGGTGACTGTTGCCGCTGCCACGCGGACGACCTTCAACTTGACTGTGCTGTCGATTCCGCTGTGGGCAGTGGCTGTGGGCGCGGTTCTGGTGATCTCAGGCGTTGGAGCAAGAGTCAAGAAGCACAAATTGGGCCTATGAATCGGATGACGGTGTATATGAGTTTTGGAGATACCATGGATGTCTACTAGTACTTTCTTGTGGTTGTGAAATGTTGTCAGATAGTAGTATATTTATGCCGATGCGTCAATATGTGTTACATTGTGAGAGATCTGTTCAATTTTCGGGGGACGATAGAATATCACAGCTTAGTATAGAAAGCAGCTGCCCGAGATATCGGAAAGTGAGAGGATGAGAATATAGAATAGAAGTGGTCAATCTTTAATCTTTAATCCGGTGGATCGAAATTGAAGATCCCAAACGGGAAAAGTGCCCACTCCACATCTTTTTTGTCGGTCAGTCCACTCACTCCCTCACTTCCGCTCTCCCCATCAGCCCACCACAATCCTCTTCAATGGCGTCAACAAGGACGCCGTACGTCTGCCTCAATTGCAGGCTGACAAGGCCATTGACGCGACGCGCCTTCTCCTCCTCCACGCACCGCGCCGAAGCTCTCCGTCCTGCGACCGCGCCGAAGCCCACCCCAGACGTCAAGCACATCCGCCAGAACGCCGAGCTGTACTCCAAAAACAGCGTCGACCGCAATTACCCATCGCACGTCGACTACCCATTCCAGATCCAGAACCTGTCCGAAGAAGCCCGCCGTCTCGACCAAGACCTCAAGACCCCTCGCTCGCGCATCAAGCAGCTCGAAAAGGCCATCGGCAAGCTCGCAGCTTCCGCCCGCCAGGAAGGAGGCAATGGCGAAAACACAGAAGAGCTGACAGCTCTCCGATCAGAGGCCCAAAAGCTCAAGGACGAATCACAAGAGATGACTACGCGCAAGACCGCCTGCACGGAAGAGATCAACCGGCTCGCCCTGTCCCTCCCCAACCTATCCTCCTCCGAAACACCGGTCGGGGACGACCCCAGACTGATCGAATACCTCAATTTCGACCCCCGGTCGCCGCCCGAGTGGATCGCCAGTCCGGACCCCAGTCGCTCCCACGTCGCGATCGGCACATCCCTCGGCCTCATCGATTTCACCAGCTCCGCTACCACCACCGGCTGGGGATGGTACTTCCTCACCAATGAGGGCGCTCTCCTGGAGCAAGCTCTGATTCAGTACGCATTGAGCGTGGCCCGGAAACGCGGCTGGAAGCCCGTGTCGCCCCCGTCGATCGTCTATTCCTACATCGCCGAAGCGTGCGGGTTCCAGCCCCGCGACCAGCACAACGAGCAGCAGATCTGGGCCATCGAACAGAGCGACAAGGACAAGAGCAAACCGCAGCGGTCTCTGGCCGGGACCGCCGAGATCCCCCTCGCGGCGATGTACGCCGGCCGCGACATCGACGCAGCGAATCTTCCCGTCAAACTGGTCGGGCCCAGCCGATGCTATCGCGCCGAGGCGGGCTCCCGTGGTGTCGACACGAAGGGTTTATACAGAGTCCACGAGTTCACAAAGGTGGAGATGTTCGCATGGGCCGATAACGCCCCCGAAGCAAGTGGAAAGGGACTCCCGACGTCCGACGACCTCTTCAACGAGCTCCTGTCCATCCAGACCGAGATTCTGACCTCCCTAAACCTCCCCTGCCGGGTGCTGGAAATGCCGACCACAGACCTGGGCGCCAGTGCAAGCCGCAAACGCGATATCGAGGCCCTCTTCCCCTCGCGCCTGCGGGCCGGTGCGGATCTCGAGTCGGCATGGGGCGAGGTCACCTCCGCTTCTATCTGTACGGACTACCAGAGCCGTAGGTTGGGAACCCGGGTGCGTGGCGGAGCAGCGAAGGATTCTCGGTTCCCGCATACGGTCAATGGTACTGCCGTGGCTGTTCCCCGGGTGTTGGCCGCCATTCTGGAGAACGGATGGGATGAGAAGCGCAAGGTTGTAGTTGTCCCGGAGGTGCTGAGGAACTGGATGGGTGGCTTGGAAGTAATTGGGGAGTCTTCGTGACTGTAGAACAGATAGAACTTTGTATGCTATATATGATATTGCATTGTACATTATACTACTTATGAAACTGATCTTTTTTTGGAGCCGGTTTATCTTGTGTACAATATCAACCCAGACATCAGATTAAGAATATCTGTACAAAACCATACGGAAAACGTTCAAGAACGGGAAAAGATTACGCAAGAAAACACAGTTGAGTGCAAGACGCTACCTAAATGACAGGGTCATAACTTCGTAACACGTTACGTTAAAAACATCATGTCGTCAGCACCAGAAAACATCTAGAATCAATATCTCAAACCAAAATATAAGGGGAGGGGTGACGTGAAATAGGTAAAGGGTATCAAAAGTATAAAAGAAAAAGCCATATCGTAGATCTTTTGGAGGTATCATAATCGTTTAATCCCACGGAATATCTTCATCTTCGATTTTGATGCAGGTCAAATAGGGAAGGCCACCGGAACTGGTGTCCAGTTCGCCGCCTTTGAGGTCTAGCTCGAGGAAGTTCCTCATTAATGGCCGTACGATTTCGCGAGCTAGTCGTTTAAGTTCGTCCATCTTACGCTCAAATCGTTTGAAAACATCACGGGAGTATAGAGAGTCTGATGAAGGGGTTGGATGTACTTTGAGGAACTTCTTGAGTTCATCATGAGGCAGATAAGCCTGAGTAGAGGCCGAGCCAATCTGGCGGTATACCCGTGCGGAGGATAGAGGAGCGGCGGTAGCGGCTTTCGAAGCGGCCGAGTGATGATCCTGACCCCGGTGGGCAGTGGGCTGTGAGGGACGGCTATGGCTGCTTGTGGTCGGGGCGCTCGAGGAAGAATTCTTCAAAATTGGAGCTGGAGGGGGCGTGGTGCTGTCGACAAGCCATTGCCGGAAGAGGGAGACGACAAGCCAATCGAGGTATGCGTTGGTGGGCGTCACACGTTCGCCGCGGGAGGTAGTGAGCGTGAGTCGCAGAAGTTTGGAGTCAATGCGCGACTTCATATATTCTAAATCCTCGACCTTATCCTCGATAATATCTAGCACAGTATCCGGGAGCGGAGAGTATGCACCATTGCGCAGGTGCGGTAGTCCCGCAGGCCATTGCCCGACAACATGGATTAGGGCTTCGGAGTAGATGACGCGACTGCGCGCAAGATAACCCAGCTTGAGGTAGCTCGGGGGGTATTTCGCGATTTGCTTGAAGAGCCGGGACCCAAATCCGAGGAGGTGGTGATCAACTCGCGGTCCCGTTACGGGAAGGGCATCGTACATGTCGGCTAGCGCAAGAAGAGATCTGCATTCGGCGTAGGCAGTCGCAATGTTGACGCTGTTTAGCGCCGGGGGATGGTTATAGAACAAGCGGAAAAGATTATCGTAGTCGCGAATCGTCGGATCCATTGGTGCGTTTCCCGCATCGGTATGCGGTATGTTCATAACGGATTGCATTCCGGCCAGGTTTGCCATTGAACGGACGAAACCTGCTTGCGTACCTGATGGTTTCGTCACCGACGGGGGATACTGTCCCAGGTTGTTTCCAAAAGTGCTAGAGAAGCTTGGGGGCTATTGCCGCGGCGTGTCAGCATATGACCACAATATAGCACAAACGAACCGACCTTCTGAACTAGGATTGGTTCCTCGTCTTCCGCCTTGTTTTCCCAGTCTAGCTCAAATCTCCATCGCCTCTTCTCTGGAGAAAACACCGCCCCCGTCTCCGACTGAGCCAGAGTGGAACCGTTCGACAAAGACGAATTATCTTCGCTGATTCGGGATAGCACCGCAGGATCCGGAATGGGCGGCCTCGATGTAACAGCCTGTCGCGACCATTCATCGCGAGTGCTCGTGTCAAAGAAGCCTGAACATTGTGCCAAAATCAACCGATGTAATAGGTACCGCCTCTCTTGCCCACTTGCGCGGATAACAATCTCGACATCGCCGGTGTGGGTGAAAATGGGGAAATCATTCTGAGGTTGGTGAATAAGCCCACCGTGGTGGGAGCGGCTCGAGCGATGTCGCCGGCCAGAGTGACGCGATACGGAAGATGTCGCGCTCTGTGTGAGAAGGGAGCGGTCCAAGATCTGGGCCTGAGAGACCATTTCGGAAGAGGTGAACGTAAGTGTTGTGGGAGACTTTGGGGTCATGGTCAGACCGTGGCGGCGACGAGAGAACGTAGTACCAAGACGCCAGAGCGCCGTGTGTGGGCCTTCATACAAGTCCACACTCCCCACAAAATCGGAGGTTATTTCTCGGTCATGGGATGGAGAACCGTCTTTCAAGGGACCCTCTTCGGAGAAGAATTGGGATGGTTTGCCGACTGTTTACCCCCGCGGCGATAACCAACAAGCACTAGTAACGGGGAGAGGTTGAGTGGGTGTGAGATAGCCAGAATTAGGATTAGATTTGATCAGATGGCCGGGGCTTGTTTCAGCTCATGAAGGACCGGAGCGAAACCACAGGCAGACAGAGGCTGATATCTGATACGATGGAGTGGGTTCCACTTAATGCGATTAGCACGGCCAGCCAAGGTCGCTTAGTGGTTGTCCCTGATAGGTAAATAAACAAAAGATTCAATCGCGACAAAGAGAACCAGAGACGGAGAATTGAACAGGAAGCGTGCGATTGATATAAATCACCGCCTGATCGCCGGCCCCCGAAGTGACTCTCTTATGACATTCCCGACGGTGATTGTTTGCAGAGACTCTCGAATTTACTTGGTTTGGCTCATGGTTTCGAACATGCCGGCACATGACTGGGCATACCAGAAGGCCGGGCGGTCGGAGACGGCAGTAACCATCCGCCGAAAACCGTTTAGCGCGTCTGGAGGGAGCGCATCCATCATCCGTGAACAATCACCCTATAGCTTAACTAGAGGAGGATCTTCTTCCTGAGAGTTCCTCCTGCAGCTGCTCTTCTTACGACTTGAGACCTTGCTCTAGAAGATTGCCCACATTACTCTATCGTAGCCAGAACAGACATTCCAAGAATACGGACCTTTTCCTCCTATTCAGGTAGAGAGATAGTAAGTTCCCGGTGAAAGCAACGCCATGGAAAAGCATAACAAACAGGAGAGAAAGACAGCGAAAGCTACGAGTCCTCTGGCCATGACAGCAGAGTTCCTGTGGAGGACCTTACTGAGGACTTTCCACATTTGACACCCCGGCTGTTCCTCATAGAGCTCTCGGCTCTTCGCCAAAGGAATGTTGCCTGAGGAAAGTTGTCTCAGCCCTCCATTTCCGGTAAGAATCACTGGTGCAGGGGTGTGATAGTCTCTATATCTGAGTGAACCACATCCAAGATAGCTTGGACCAACCCTTCCGCGACGCAAGGGGTTGTCATGCGATTGCAGGCGATCCGTAAGAAGTCTCCTAGCTCCTGTCTCCCCGACCCAGGTGCATAATCCACCATCCAGCCTCGCTTCATAAGCCCCGCGGAGATGAGATGCGTAAAATGTGTGTTCTGTGTGACCATGTCTTGCGTAGAGCCTGTGCATTTGAGTGATGCGCCTACATAGTAGAAGCACACCTGTGTACATGGTACATCCACATCTCCTACAAGGTGGAGTGAAGGTTCCTTTTCGATCAGCCGGGCAAGGTATTTAGCCCCATCATAGGCCCCTTCAACTTGTTTGGCGATGCCTTCTGTACCATAGTATCGCCAATGAAAGTATAGCTTGACGGCGTCTGGCCGACGACCGCATTGAGGAGTGAAAGATGCCAGGTCGTACACTTCTCGGGGATCAGGTGCGTTTTGAGCAGCGTTGGATGTACGCCAATTGTGGTGAGCACTGTTGAAAGAAGAAGGCTTTTCCCCGTTGTTATTGGACAGTTTCCCCTCAAATACGGCTGTAGTGGGCGAGGGGCACAATTCAGAAGGAAGTATGCTGTCATCTTGATGGAACAAATACCCAGCAGTCAGACTGTTCGCATACCAGAATGTACGGAGGTCCTTCCCGAGAAGAAAGGAGCAGATCTGTGGCACACCCAGTAGTTTGTGCGGATTGTATGCGATACTGTCTGCAAACTCACAACCAGCGAGCTTGTACCTGAGCTTGTTGGAAAATGCAGCGGCACCACCCCAGCATGCATCCACGTGGAACCAGGCATTATATTCATGGGCCAGCTTGGCAATGCTCTCTAAGGGGTCATAAGCCCCACGAACGGTTGTCCCTGCTGTTGCACATATAAATAGGGGAACCTCTTCCGCGGCTAGGGAAGCATCAAGTGCTTGTTTAAGAGCCTTGGGATCCATGGAGCCGTCTTTACTGGTAGGAATCTTCTTGACAGAATGTGACCCCAGCCCCAGGACTTGAGCTGCATTAAAGACTGAAAAGTGCGCTGCTTGAGATGCATACATCACCAGACGTGGTGACGATATGCCATGCAGGCCGACTTCTTTGAGATGTGGAAATCGTACATTCCGTGCGATCAGCAGGGCGGTACTATTTGCTGCTGCTCCGCCTGGGACAGTAACGCCTCCTGAATTTGGATCGCCGAGACCGAAGAGATGAGCCAGCTCTTCCCCAACATGTTTCTCTATTAGAGTGAGAGCTGGCGAGACTCGAAAGACGTGGTCGTTGCCATTCAATGCGGACAGGAGTAAATCTGCAGCAATTCCAGGGACGGACGGTGACGACCATAGTTTATCCATAAACCCTGGAGACGACGTATTGACCGAGTATCGTAGAAGGGTTGACGTCGAGGATGCGATGTCCTCCAGGCCTCGTCCCGTCGCCGGAAGCTCCAATGATAGAAGTTCGCGAAGCCGATCTGGATGGCTCAGGTGGGACTCTAGAATATTGCCGGTGGAATAGCACCCGTTCGAGAGATGTCCTTCAGTGGTAAGAGCATTGTAGTCATCTTCGGAAGCGCGAAGAAAGGAGGTTACGTATCTCAGCACACTCTCGACAGCCTTCATGAATTAGCAACACTGTCACGACGGATATATACTGCTGGATGTACCTCTGTGAGCTCAGTCGCTCTACCGGCAAGCAAAGAATCTTCTTCGATTGAATTTGCAGGCATTATCGCTTCCTAGATGATATTCCCGGGCTATTTTGTGCGTTCAAGAGATGAGTGAGAGTGTAGCTCAAATAAAACAGTTTGCACCCTGTAATAAGCCGGCGGTTGCCTTGCCGCAAGCTCTTAGTTAGCCATATACTACTTGCCTACTACATGTTTTCATGGCTTACCTCTGGCAGATGAGAAAGACGGTTTTACACAGCCCCTCAGCAGTTAGCGCTTGTTGGTTGATGTAAAGCGACGCCCCAGTGTTGTGCCAGTCAATGCAGTCGTTCAAGGACAGTCTGGGCCATGAGGATTGTGTAGGTTCCCATCCTTCACATGTCCATTGCACAACCTGCCGTGCGACATATCGGCCAGAAGCAGCATCCAAGGCACTGGGTTTTGAGTCTTGAGGGGAATAAGATGTACTTCTCGAATACCATGTCGCAGTCGCAGTATGGTTTTCAGAAGAGAAACGGAAATGGGAGGTTGTTCTGTAGCCACCGATTCCCACCATGGAGAATGGTATACTGTGGGATTGACGAAGCACGTATGTCTGAAGTGCACTAGGTATTGTTACGGCGTAGTCTGTACGATGTACTGGAGATCTGAAGCTGGCTTCATATTATTAGGTTGTCAACCTTGAACCCTACGTGGATACTTGGTGGAAGTTTCCCCTAAAAGTACTCTGTCTCCCCCCATACATCAAATCAACCTCAAGGTTCAAGTTCCTTACTTCTTTTTTTAGAACCCACCCTTGGCTACCCTATGTGCAAATTTACAACTGATTGGTACGGTGGGCTTTCGCTCTCCCCATAGCTCATATTGAACGTGCAGTGGAGATCCACGCGAGTTAGGCAAAAGTCAGCCTTGTGAATATAACACACTGACACCCCGGCTAATATTAATATTTCCTTACTCTCCCTTGATAGCATGGTCTTCTACAGAGCGAACCTTCCATCGGAAAGACACGCAAGGGTGCCAGCCAACATTGCCAAGATTGTACTTGACTCAAACCTCTCCTATCAACGAAGGACGCAAAAGTCCTGTGCGCATTCGGGTACGAGCAGTAAGAACTTCGTAGTCAGCATTTACTATATAATATTTGATTGATTGGACTGAAAACGCAGGTAGGAATGCCACACTAAAACGGTCTTTCATGGATTCTAGAGCTTTTATCAAGGAAGAATCCACAGACAGGATAATTCGGCGTTTGGCAAATGAAGCCCTAGTCAGCGTTGCAGTTGACGTCCAATGCTAATGCACACTAAATAGCCGCTGGCCCTGAAGGAAGCCCTGATCATCAAAGCCCCGCCGTTAGCCTTGTAGTAGCGTTAGTGCTATGCTCTTTGCGAGGCTGTATCCGAGCGCTAACTGAGGGCTCTCAATCCAACCTCCTCGCACATAAATGTCGTTGATGCTGGAGAGGCGGACGAGAGTGTGGCTCGATGGTGGTCCGCAATACTCGCTCCAAATGAAGGATGGAAAGCTATAGTGGGACGATCCACCAGAAGGGAATTTTTGGCGCCGTGGTCAGTTTCCCGCACTTGTGAAACGTGTCTTTCAATCAAACATAGGCGATTCTCCTCATCTTCGGACCAAACCCCCTTATCCTCAGACAGAGCCTTCGAGGCTCTTGTTGGATTCGCTCGCCTGCATGGATTGCACAGCCAATTCCTCATTGCTCTTGCGATGGCCTTGACAATCCCAACACATAAGTATTATAATTCATCTGCCAAACTACCACCTCCAAGAGCGGCAGGTGCTAAGAAGATTAATACTCCCACCGATGTCATTCCACCCGCGTGGATGAGGTTAAAGGAAGACCTGCCCTACTATATGACTTTGAGTTGCAGCCCTGAAGCAATGATGTCAACTTTCTGTGGGGCATTTTGGGAGCATGATATCCCCTGCAATCTGGTCAGTCCCTGGCTACATCCGGTCCTCAATGAGATCCTAGGTGGGACGTCTGGCACATTAGGGAGTCATGCAGAAGCCCTTGCTTTTATTGGTGCAATCCGCCAGCCAAAGTTCAGTGCACTCTGGATAGGAGCTGTTGCAAGCGGGTTAGGCCCAGAAATACTCCATAGAGTGAGGAGAGGCCGGCCTCCTCTTGATCTGCATGCATTTCCCTGGACGGGATGTCCGCAAAGCTTTATGGACATTGCAGGCTCAGGCCCATACACTTACAAGAACCCCCAATACATCTTGAGAGCAGATGTTTGGCGATTAATGCATCTCCCTTCAACTGACCCGGAAGATGAATGTTATCGGTACAGATCTAGCACGCCCTGGGCGCCCTGTGGGACATCTCTCGTAAAAGATTGTGCCCTCCGCGTTGTGGCACACCTGGAGTGCTCTCGGCATGAATACAAATATGATCATTGGAATTGGTACTTGCAAGATGGCACTACGATTCAGGACCGCGGGCTTTTGGAACAACCGACGGTAGCTGTGTCTGAGTATCATCCCGACGGTTTCAGCATCAAGGCATATAGGGATTTCAAGAGAACTAATTTTGACCAAATCGCTTCCCAGGATGCCTCGCTGGATATATTTCAATGGTTCTGTATAGGTGGAGAAGGCCTCCCCCCGGAGAGCATTTATCAAGACGACTGGCTTCGGGTAATATGGGAGGAGGACGATAGTGAGGTAGATGCTGATGAGACTGATGATCGAGACTCACAAGGACCGGTCGGCAAGTCGAATGATCGGCTTGAATCATGGCTTAAGACAGCCGGTTGACCTTCAAACTATTCATCTGATTAACGGATTGCATAACATAGTCCAGAAGCAGCTTGGGTTGAACTGCTCAAGTCACAAAAATACGATTCAGAGGCGGAGCACCGTACCACACCTCTATGGATCCTGTCTCAATGCAATTCATATGCCGCGCTGTGACAATCCCAACTGTGCTTTTGGCCATGAGATGGTGTGACGGTGGCCAGAAAATGATATTTTTGAGACCGACAGGTATTTATTTTCCAGAAAGCTGCGATAGCCCTGTAGGATTTATATGGATGTATTGGTGCGGACAAAAACTATGCCTGATATTACAGCAAGAACTTCAATGTCAATGTCATGGACTAGGCAGAAACCTAGTTAGGACATCCTATATGACTATAATTTCATTCTAAGCTACTTGAAATTGATCCTGATAGCTCCATTAAACAAAGAGCGCTCTCTCGAGGAATCGGTATGCTCCTCCTGGCTGAATCTAAGAGTCCGGGCTTGCAACACAGAAGACATTAAGACCACCAACCCCACACATAAGTATCCATACCAGCTCTATCATATGCTGGGAATGGCGTAGACACCAGTAAAATGGGCTGTCTCAGCTTCACTGCAAAGTGCAACACCGGTAGAATACTCAGTCATAGACATCATAACCTTATCACCATTCATCTCAAGGCTCAATCTAGCCATGGCCATTGGGACTTAACCACAGTAGCATTGGTCCACTGCGGCAATAATTAATATTTTATCCTATGCTTTCTACTTGGAAGTCTTATGATATTACTAAAACTCCCGTCAACCGAACCCAACAATAGAATATTCGTTCTGGGGCACCTAATGACTCATCAACAAACCTTGGGATCCTCCTGCCCCATGCAAACATCCGTGACATCAATATATAAATCACCTACTGCATGCGGCGAGTTCCATATCAGTCATGCGTTCATATACACATCAACTCAACCTGCAATGACATAATGATTCTTTTGTACAGTGCTGTACTGCCGAGTACAAATTGCAACTCTTTCTCTTGCCCATCTTGCATTCTAGGTCTGCAATTCAGTGTTGACTGATAACTCTGAACCAACTTCGGGGAACCTTTTAACTAGAAAATCTTTCTTTCTGCAAAACACGGTAAGTTTCTGTTTGTCATGTATCTTCTACTCTATTTATCTAGACTGCATCTAATCAGCCTTATAGATGGGTCAACAAGCTCACGGAACCTTCTCTTCCGATGGGTCTGGAAGTTTTACCGGGACCTATGTTATGCCCGACCAGACGCAGAGGACCATTACCGGAAGATTCTCGTCCCGAGTTCCTGCATTCTCCGTGCCGGTATCCACAGTTACCTTCGACGATGACCTATATGGCACCCACAGAGTATCGGGAGTGCTTGGAGTAACTTCCATGGACTCCAGGCTGGACGACGGTGTAGAGCTACATGGACATCTTATGCCCCCGCTCGATCAGGGGTACAATATTGAGGGTCATGGAAAATGGTCTGAAGAATACTGACCAACTCACTGGAATATGCGGAGGGTAGCTGTCGAAGCATCCAAGCTGAATGGTGATCAATGGCTTTAGTTATTGTATGCAGAGACAGATATGTTGATTAAAAGTATTGCATTCGGATACTGAGCACAAAGAGTGATAGTATTATCTTAGGACACGATATGGAGCTCATTCCTTACGGACGCCTCCTCAGCGAAGGCAGCGGCCGAGCAGCGTTTCGAAGACCGGAAGATAAATACGAATGAGGAAGATTCATGGAATATCATATCAGAGCTCAGTTATGTAATATTCTTGTTGAGATGAGTATTCATGCTCTGACGTTATTAGCTAAGACGAATCCAGGATAAAGTCAATATAAGAATATAGTAGATAATTCAGTGTTACAGAGATCTCTCACATTGAACAACTAGAAGTGCGAAAACAAAACACTAGACACTTATTCATATTAATCATCAAATGGCCATGCCTTGTTCCAAGCCACCCACTCATCTTCAAACTGTGCGAGTCCATCAATCATCTTTATCTTTGCCTATTTTAAAAGCTCTTTCACTCGGCCGTACTGATCATGTCGTACCACACCTTTCTCGGGCCAGTCCTCACCTAATAGCTGTTTGAACTCCCGCATAATATCCATACCTCTGATTGCACCGGAAACATCTTATTCGATCAAAACAGCCTCCTCAGATGATATATGACACGGAAACTAAAAATCACCCTGAGCGTGGACACCTGGAAGGCTAAGCCATTCTTCTTCTAAATCAAGCACCCTGGCTTAATATAATACCTCCCCATCAACCAGGATATTCTGAGCCATTATCATTATCTCAAAACTGGTAGTCTCCCGAAACTTTATAGCTTTATAAAGTCGTTCATTAATAGTGTAGATGAGCTTTCTATACAAGACTGCGAGCGATATCTGTAAGTATAGATTTATAGTATTTTTTTACTCGGTAGAATTTAGCTTACTAAAATTCTCTGGGAGTACTGGTAGATTAAGATCAGTTATTAAAAGACTATTATAATTAAGAAAATATAGCTGGCGAATTTAATCAAAGAGCAGTAGAAATTTATTTAATTACTAATCTATTGTACTGAATACTTGCAATAGACTTTCGAGATTAATAAATATATTCTCTACATAGAGATCAGAGTAAAATAAAAAGATAGACGAGATTAATTTATTAATTAACAGAAGATATTTCACTATGCGAAAATAGTTGTTAAGTGCAGCTAATTTTTTGAAGCGAAAAGAGCGATATATATACTGGGACCATGTAGTAATATAGGCGACTGAGATAGTTCCGAGATCTTTTGAACAGATCTAATCTCTCGCATACCGACTGCTGTTTTATATTATTCAGCACTATACCCTAGAAAAGCGCAGTCAGCACTGGCTTTGGAAACAGGATACTAGTATTGTAACAACTCACACGGGCCTCGATCAAGGTCCAGTGCTACTCTTCCGTCGTCGAGAAATGTTCGGCCTGTCGAGGGACCGACGGTAAAACGAGGTTCCCTCATTCCAAAGCCATCTTACCCTGTAATGATACAGTCTTCATAACTTTCCAAGTCACAAGAGTAGTATAGGCTCCCATATTAAGCAAAAGAAATTGACATCCAGGACTTTTGGTATCCTGCGATTACCTTCACCACCTCAAGTCTGTCTTTGATATTCAATTTAAGCCAAATTTCTTCAAGCTATACCCCTAGAACTTTCTCCATTATAATATATTCGGCGCCAACTAAGTTTTTTTTCGCTTTCGAGCTCCAAGCCAGCACCTTCGGCACGGGTATACCAAGCGTATTTCTGACCTGCATTGCCAAGCGTTAGGAAGAGATAAAAGGGTCAAAATAAAAAAAAATTAACTGACAAAATCCATAGTAGCCACTTCACTGGCAGTGGTATAGTAAACCCGCCCGGCGTTGGGGTTTGGGACTTTACCAACAACCTATATACCGTCCTGCATTGTGAAAAGGAAAGTCTTATTAAACATTCCGTCTAGAAATCTCTTAACGTGGACGCATTGTGTATTAGAATAGCCGACTGCTTTAGCAGCAAGCTTTACCAGTTCATTCATATTAAACCGAACATAGCGTATTGACATTTCGTAAACTTCTTTTGTTAGGAAACGACCCCTGCTATAGTTAAAAAAAAATCGTCGTGCGCGTTCCAATCTGAATGAAGTTACCGGTTGAGGTTTGGTATTGATAGAGGATATAAAATTTTACCTCGTTTCTTTAGTAAAGAAAAGTACATGCGGATCATATTGAGACAAAGCCTTGTGGTCGCAAGTCAAGCAACCGTGGCTCTCACTGAGGATCACTGCGGAAGATCGCCCGGAGGCCCAACCGCCCAGCTACTAGTAGCTCAGGGAACCTTGGGCGGTTGGGAGGCATCCCACGTGCCTATGCCAATAATGCACTCGTTCGTCATTACGGCCCGAACCGAATCTACTGGTTAGCTTATACGATACCGCTAGAAAATATGGGATGCTGGGAGACTTTAAATGTTTAGTAAATATTTACTCCTTGTCACCCTCCTTCAACCTTTCATGCTCCAACAACTCCCTGGCGGATGGCCTATCCCTCCAGTCCAACTTCCTGATCTCCATAATGAACTCCTTATCTCTCTTACAAACTTCTTTCTCCGTTATCATAGCAAATGGGGTAGTTTCTGATTTGGGAATCTCCTGCATAACCCACCTAATGGCATGTAAAGTCTCGGGACTTGCAACCTCTTCATACTTACCAGGCCAGGGGCCAAAATATCGAAATTGCTGTTTCAAGGTACAGTGGTGGGGTTGAACAGGTTGAAGTTGGCACCGTAGATGAGAGATATAAGCTGAAATGGCGATTAGTGTTCTCTTACCAAGATCAGTTCATTGAACAGAATTGAGAAGCTCACCACAGCTCCGTATGACCAAATATCGGTTGGAGAGCCCCACGGAGTCTCCATGATCAGTTCTGGGCTGTGCCACATCGGCGCCCCTAATGGAGTGCCTGACCTTGCCCACTTCGAGTCAATAGGGCATGTGTCACCAAGATCCCGTAGTCGAACATCTGAAAATCGCACATGGTTCCCTACGCCTCGGTCGGCGTAATTTACAAAGATATTATCTGGTTTCAAATCTATAGATCTGGTATCAATGACGTTTCTAGATAAGTAACCAGGGAGATTATTTTTACCTGCATGTATATAACCGCCCTGGTGGAGACAATTGAGCGCTTCAAGAATACGCCGTGAGACGCAATTAAGCTTCTTTCGGTTCAAGGGCCTTGTCTTTGATGCTTGAAGAAGATCATCTTCAAAGTGGTTCAAGACAATGATAGTTAGCTCGGGAGGATCTTCAATTTCATCAAGGACAGGTCGGAGGCAAGAAGTTTTGGCCTGAAAGCGTTTGAGAATATCTAGTTCATTGTTCACACGTGGATGATTTTCAACGCCCTTAATGATGACGGTCTATTTTGCTTGGTTTCTGCGAGAAACTAATCAGTATATTTTCTAAATGACCTGAGCTTTGTGCACTCACTTCGCCAACCAAACAGTGTCTCGGACTCGCTTTGCGATTGTGTATTTCCCTAATTTACCTCGAAGAACATGTCCAGTTCGAAAGAGAGAGGACATCGTCAGTGGAATGCTTGGAGTCGCTTGGGAAGTCAGCAGCAAGATATTGTAGTGAAATACTATTTCCCGCTATTGCAGGAGACGAGAATGTCTGTCGAGATTAATTCAGCCAGGGAGTTTCTTTCTCACATTGGGAAACGCTTCCGGGGGTACCAGCTCCAAGGGGTCAGGATTTAGTGGCTTCTTATATAGTTGGAGATCCAGGCAGATATTGATGCTAATCCCAAGGCGGCAAAACTAACTGCAAGAGGGAATTCGAAGGTCCTCCACCAAGATTGCTTTACTATCTTGCGACAGGCGTGTCGAATGTCAAGTTGCTCTATTCTTGAGGATCGAACTACAGAACACTTGGATTGAGCCTTGACTTCGACCCGGAAACTTTTCCGATAATACCCTCGTCACCTTTGACCAGGACCGTCCTTATATTCCATTCCGTCTTAACTTCAGTAGGAGCGTCACCTCCTCAGGTGACCATTGCATGCCCTTCCTAGAGGTCCCATATCCTGCAGACCCCATGAATTCCAAAGCCTTTTGTTCGTGATCTCCCTTGTCTTTACCGCGCCGTGTACCACAGCTTAAGAGATTCAACGATGCCCAACCGTCCTAATGGAAATTCACCACCCAGGCCAAATGTCCCTTAATTACCAAGAGTAACCAAGTCAAAGCGATGCAACCAAGCTAACAGAACCTCCTTGAGACCTTGTCGGAGAAGTTCGTCACCGAATAGATACTCGTCAGCCCGGTTTTGATCCCAGGAGAATGTCCCTTGCTGACTATGAACCAAGGACGCATTCCCACTCCTGATCATATATTTAGTCTCCTCCCAGTCACTCAGATACAGACGAACAGGTCCCCATATCAAAGTCTGTGCCATAACACCCGGAAGCAGATCGTTAAATCGCGGATGGGCACGGACAAGAGCCCATTTCTCATTGACCGAATTGATCTCTCTAACGTCAAAACGTCGCCTAACATCTACACACAACGTTCGGTCTACCATCTGGCGGACGGTACGCTTAAGGTACGATGTCTGCTGCTCAGCGAAGTGATATACCTCGTCTAATGGGAAACCGTCTCGATCACGCCCAACGTGCTGGATGATAGTAGCCTGCATATGCTCGATTTCCTGCTTCATTTTCTCCAGCCGGTAGCCGGTCCACTCGGTGTATAGTTCGGAGAGATCACAATATGGCCGCACGTTTGACAGATAGCTATCGTCGTGGAGACCGGGTATCGCTGCGCGGTATGAAGTTATAGTTGTGATCCGCTCGGTTGCTCCGAAGGCTCGCGCGGCCAGATGTTCGACTTGGCCTCCTTGTAGTATGACGCAGTGCCCCAGGGAAGGTCCTTCGACCTATACGAAGAATTAGTATTTATGAAGTTCCTATTGACACCATAGGTTGGTGGCTATATACCTTTACTGTACTTCCGTCATTCTTCCTAATATAGGTTTCTCCCCCAGTCATATGTGTAGTATCGCTGAGCATCAGGACCGCTACGTACGGGTAAGAGTCATGGCTTTCTTTCGTTAGTACGCATCACAATGCTTCGAAAGTTGAACAGGAAGAATACAAGAAGAAAGCCAAAAAGAAAAGATAGACAGCAGGAGAGAGACAGGAAAGAAAGAGTGCCTACTGCCAAGGTATAACCGCACTCTCCCTAAGCGGATCATAGCCATCCTGCTCATCCATACAGACGCTGTTCGCTTTTGGCTCCACCTCAAGCTCCTTCATCAGATCATCCACTGTACAGCCAGCAGTTTGGATATTTGTGTGGCCAATTTCGATTGGCATAATTATAGTCAGTGGCACGCCAGCAACTTCAGACACAATTCTCATTGTCTCCGGATGCGTCCAGAGGTCAGAGATGAATTTGGAATGTTGGGCTAAATTCCGAAGAATAAATGTCCCAGCGCCATATGACTTCGCACAGTCTTGTAGGATATGAGGCTTCATCAGACATCGTCGATACGCATGCACCCCTGCCTCGGAAAGGAATGGGAAGGGAGCACTTCCTGCTATTGGAGTTGATGTTTTCGAGCCTTTCAAGCCTAGGTCTTCCATGGTGAGCAGGGTGGCAGGAGGGGCATAGTTAAGGTGAACCTAAAAGCTATGTTGTTAGAATAGCTGGGGAAAAGATGCAAGTCCCGCAACGGCGTACTTCGGGGTCAAAGATATCCTCGGTCTCATTACACCCAAGTTGCTTTTGCATGTGCTCTCGAGTAGCTATCATGGTGTTCAACTCCTCGGACAAGATGAATAACTATCCAAATCGTGTGGTATTGCCTCGTACAAAAAGGACCAGAGCATGAGAGCTATATACAGGCCAGAATTCTGATAATGGGAAGTTCAATGTGACACGAATGCGGTGCACAGGACTTCCACTCCTTATCAGGTAAACAATTCCATCTGTCCTTGGACAATCTATAATTCTTCTTCTAGGTTACACTGGCAAAAGTGTGAAGGACGTCAGCTGAGGCGGTGCTTTCTCCTGAGTAAAACTAAAAGGAGAAATGATATCGCATATTGCATGTTCAATGTTTTAGGATAGATATTCTTGGTCAGTCTTAGGGATTTGGTGAATTCATAATCGTTAGTGCACACCCAGCGAAAGGGTCTGGCCTGGTCCTATTGGGAGGGGGATGGGAAGATAGGGATCTAGCACACTACAGATACCATACAGTAAGGATCGATGATAAGGAACGAGTGGGTTTATCTCGGTAGGACTCGGCAGGACACCGTTTGAGACCAAGATAAGAAAGAACGAGATGTTTTTAGTTTATTAGTTAGGGTAGTGGAGTGGCAGGTGATCCAGTAATGGATGATTCGCTACGATCGCCGTGCGGCAGTGGTTGGTTCGTCTAAGCGTCATCCCCGGAAAGAATTCCGTTGACTTCTCCAACACGCGGACAACCACTTACTTCCATATCGAATGTCCAGACCACACCCCCACTAGATACGAGTCATTCAAGGTCTTCCTTCATCTCCGCATTGGATCCATCAGGATCGATGCGAATGTGCCGTTATCAGTTTACCTTCACTTAGCGTCGACTGAGTCGAAGATCGACGTCTGGATTCTGGATTAGTCGAATGGATCCCGCCTTGCTTATCCAGAAAGTGGTGCAAATGCTTAACCCCTCTCGAGATTACCGGCCTTTCGGCTAAGCGGAGAATATTCTACTGTGGGCATGATAATGATAGGTCGAAGCCCAGATCAGAGCGACGCGTCTGATTCCGCTGCAAGGGATGCGTTGTGAAGAGACCCATTTATTACCTTCCGTACACCGCTCTTACACAGGATTGACCCCTGAATGTAGCAGTGAGGTCATGCACCTGTCTATACTCGATTAGATCTATCTTCTCATTCCATCTTTTGAAACACAAGGGGCATTCCACAGTGTCATTGCAGTATGATGCCGGAGGTGGACAGAAATGCCATCCCGGGCACATTTACTCTAGTGGATTTGGAGCATACATTGGCCACGCGACATCTGGACGGAGGAAACAGTGACATTGTTCTCGTTCCCCAGCCTTCGAATGATCCTGATGACCCACTAAACTGGTCGGCACGACGAAAATTACTGTCGACCATCTGTGTCAGTTCGTACGTCTTCGCACACCTGGAATGACACATTGAGCACGAGCTAACCGCCTTTTGGATCTGAAGGTATACCTTGTTCGCAGGTATTGCATGCTCAGTTGTCTACTCAGTACTCGTTCCACTCTCCGAGGAGACAGGGGTTTCTGTTGGCACTTTAAATGAAGGCACAGGATATATGTTCCTGCTTGCAGGATGGGGCCTACTATTTTGGCAACCATTCGCATTGCAGTATGGTAAGCGGCTGACATACATAGTCTCATTGATCGGAATGATGGTAAGTCTAGATCACTGATAGACGAAGTGTATTTCTAACATGGTTATACGGCTAGGGCACGCTGATCTGGGGGTATGTACAGCTCCAGCTTCACTTTGAACAATTGACACTGACGGGTCAGTCCTTATATAACGAGTAATGGACAATGGATCGCTCGTAGCGTTGTGACTGGCTTTTTCTTGGCGCCAATCGAGGCCCTTCCTGAAATAACAGTCACGGATGTGGTGTGTATCCTAATGAGACATCGTCGCAATCCAATCTGACGGGACCAGTACTTCACGCACGAACGCGGAACGTATATGGGTATGTATGCCTGCTTCCTGGCTGGCAGTAACTATTTTGCCCCAGTTATATGTGGCTTCATTGCCGAGTACCAGGGCTGGCAATGGGTATTTTATTACCCTGCCATTTTCTGTGCCGTCACCGCTACGTTCCTTTTCTTTTTCATGGAAGAGACGAATTATACGCGTAAAGGTGTCGAACGTACCACCTCTGCTCACCCAGTGAATCCACCTACTTCAACATCCGAGAAAGAGGAGCAAGAGAAAGCTGATCCTGTTGATACTCGGCATACGGACACAGAGGCCGGTGAAGTACATAATGTATACAAGAAGAAAACTTACATCCAGAAGCTGTCACTTCTGGGGCCGCGTCAGCCCAAAAATCACATGCTTAGACGGCTCTGGCACGCTTTATATTATTTGAGCTGGCCCGTTGTGTTTTACGCAGGGTAAGTTTAGAAGTCCCAGTCCATCAGAAACTTAGAAAGGTAACTGGCGAAACAGCTTCTCATATGGCTCGTACTTGATTTTTTTCAATGTGCTGAACGCAACTGCCTCAATCATTCTTGGCTCTGCCCCATACAACTTCAGGTATTTAACCCCAGAGAGCCAACTGGATCCATTTCTTACTGAAAAAGCACCGCAATTGTCGGCCTTTCCTACATTGCTTGTTGTCTCGGCGTGGGTCTTGGGTAAGTCTCCCCACCTTCAAGGTGCACATCTATGCAATACTAACTGAGACATAGCGCTATCTTCACCGGTAGATTCAGCGACTGGCTAACGATCCGACTCGCTCGACGGAATAATGGAATCATGGAAGCCGAACACCGTCTCTGGCCGTTCCTTGTCTGTCTCGTGATCCTCCCAGGCTCATTGATACTCTGGGGCGTCGGCGCAGCACATCAGGTCCATTGGTTTGGCCTCCTGGTAGCGATGTGCCTTATTGCGATGGCGAACACGTGCGGTGTCACCCTGAGCGTGAACTACCTCGTTGACAGCTACCGGGAGCTAAGCGGCGACGCGATGACAAGCATCATCTTAGTTCGAAACACGATGTCTTTCGCTATCGGTTACGGGCATGTCATTCATTCTTTATCCACATGTAGCGGTGCATGCTAACGGGACACAGCATCACCCCCTGGATCAACAACTTGGGCTACCAAAACTGCTTCATCTCTGCCGCATTTATCAGCATGGCCTGCGCAGCCGTCTTCCTCGTCATGATCAAATACGGCAAGACACTACGGACACGCAGCCGCGAGAAATACTGGAACCTCGTTGTCGAGAACTGGGAAAAGGGGATGACGCATTAGAGTTGCAGTACGCAATAAATCAGACGCAAGCCCTATATATATTTCTATCAAACAACCAAGGCTCAATACAATTACAATCCACGCACTAAAGCATACTCACTCCACCAAATAAATATCCCCTTGATCATCATAGGCAATCTCCCGAACCTTGACACTCCTCAGATGACTCACTCCCTTGGAAAGCTCACAATCATGATAAAAGATGTACCACCGCCCCCCAAACTCCACAATCGAATGATGCGTCGTCCACCCTAACACCGGCTCCAAGATCCGGCCCCTGTACGTAAACGGACCCAACGGACTCTTTCCAGTCGCATACGCAATATAATGCGTGTCGCCGGTCGAATAACTGAAATAATACGTCCCGTTATATTTGTGCATCCAGGAGGCCTCGAAAAAGCGTCGCTCATGATCATCCGCCTTGAGCGGGCTGCCCCCCTCATCCAGAATAACCAGGTCCTGCACAGGGGACGCAAACCCCAACATATCATCAGTCAACTGCGCAACGCGTGGATGGAGGGCAATCGCATTGTCCCCAGACGGCTCCTGAGGCCCCGTCTTCGAAGCATCAAAGACCCATTCCCCAGCATCTTTCGACCAACACTGTAACTGGCCGCCCCAGATACCTCCGAAATAAAGATACGCCTTCCCATCATCATCCACAAAAGACGCAGGATCGATGCTATAACTCCCCGCGATATAGCTCTCCTGGGCCGTGAACGGTCCCTCCGGTTTGTCGGCCACAGCGACGCCGATGCGGAATATGCCCTCGTGATCGCGGGCGGGCAGGTAGAGATAGTATTTCCCATTCTTGGTGGCCGCATCAGGCGCCCAGAGCTGCTTGCTTGCCCAGGGAACGTCGGCGAGGCCCAGGACGACGCCGTGGTCCGTTACAGGGCCGGAGATGGAGTCCATGGAGAAGACGTGGTAGTCATTCATGTCGTATTGGTCGCCATTGTCGTTGAATTGGATGTCTGTTTCGCGGTCGTGGGAGGGGTAAATGTAGAGTTTGTTGTTGAAGACGTGGGCGGAGGGGTCGGCGGTGTAGATGTGGGTTATTAGAGGGGGATTAGTGGAATTGGACATTGTGAGTGATTGTGATTGTTAGTGAGGAATTTTGATTCTGTCTTTGTACGATTATTTGGTGTTTGGGGGGATATGAAGCTGTACTGAATTTATCATGTTGTTCTTTTATATGGTAGGTCTTCTAGTTTAGCCGGACAGCCTAAACATGAATACCAAGAGCTTTCCCCCGCAGGTTTACCCCGCGGATAAATGGTTTCCGTCAGTTATCGTTAGGGCTGCGTTGCGCCGTGGCGGGAAAACTTGGCTGGTTTCTGTGTGTACCTGGCGGGTGAGCCATGGATAAATACGAGGCTAAGTATATGGATCATGGACTCACTTAAACCAAGTTGACAAGAGCTACTAAGTACGGAACATGACTTGGGTGCATTTCTGATCCGCTAGATTTACTATGTCATTAGGTACATTTATTCTATCGAGAAAGGTGATTCTGCTCGGAAGAAACATAACATCATGAAAGGACAGCCCATCGTGCAAGGTAAGAAAATCATAAATGAGCGTTAAAGTAGGGCCCAACATTGAATGAATGACGAGAATCACAGGGTGAGATTGAGAAAGGTGACTGACTATAGGTCTCATGATACTTGCAGTAACCATAGTTAGCACGCCGTTCAAAAGAAGGCGACAGACCCTGGAGAAACAAACAAAACAAAAACCCCAAGAAGAAAAGAGAAACAGCGTACGTATAATGCTAGAGGTACTAGATGACTAGGCTTGTCTAAGTCTAATGGAGGAAAAAAAATGAAGCCTTGCAAGACATAAGCTTGGGCGTTCGAATTTGGAACGAGACACTAAAGGGAGCGACTCACTATCAGGTCTTTGGTTACATAAAACCTTCCCATACTTGAAGCGATGAGTGACGATATTCAACTTTCGTTCCACTCTTGATCAATGAGCTCTAGTAGCTCTGTCTCAGTTTCTTGTTCCATTCCCCATGAGTATGACTCCTGTTCTTCCGCGGGGGTCTCGCAACGCTGGAGCCCGATGAACCGACCGAACCGCCGCCGCTTAGTTTCAATGTCCACGTCCTTTTCGTTTTCTGTACCAACCCAGGGCGGGATGACCACGGGATAGTAAGAGGTCGCGGGGGCTGGTGGCCACACTTGATGATAATGGATGGCAAGCTCATCTAGTTGTCGAGAAGTCAGGAGATGGAAGGCGAGGAGAGTAGTAGGGAAGTCTGGGTGTGCGAGGGCAGTAATGCTGGATACCAGAGGATACAGGGGAGTCCGTAAGTGAGTAAGAGTGGGGACAAAGCATGGGTGGTGCCGTCTGTGTCTCTCATCGGTCGTCGATCCTGGGACTGCTGAGCGCGTGGTGGGACGTGGCAAGCATGTGACTCGGCGCTCTGGAGCAACAATACTGGCAGAATCGACCACAGTGTGAGAATGAGGTGAAGAAGCCCTGGCCTCTGGCATACTGAAGAGGCTCCCGAGCACTAGGGCCGGTTATTCAGTCGAAATATGGATCGGTGGTTTCCAGAAAGCACCCGGCCTTTGCCTATAGAAGCGCGTGTCAGAAAAGCGTAAATGAACGTTGGCAGATCAGGTCACAGCGGTTGGCTGGCTATATATTGTGCGACAGTCTCAGCAGAGGCTCACGGAGAAAGAACTCTTTGTCCTGCACGGGCTCAATGACGGCTTCTATGGGACCATTGTTACCGAGCCTTTGTCCTGGGTCAAACGGGGTTTCACTGTAAGCGGAGAAGCTTAGTCCAACGCCGTTGTGTCCGTTATTCATGGACAAGGTCAACGGGGGTGATGAATAGTGGTTTCAATTGCGATCAAAAAGGTGCATTGAACTATATAAATCATTATGTATCCCGTCCTTGGATCTTGAAAGCGCCACCTGGTAGGACAAAGCCCGGACTGCAGTTGCGCCGGGCAGAAATCATCAATTCATTACAGAGACATATTAGCCACACCAGTTTCCAAATCTGTGCCATTTTCTGACGGCAGCCCAATAAACTTGTTGATGAAGTTGAAGATGGTGTGGTGCCACATGAGGGAATTCTCTGGGTTTAGTACCCAATGATTCTCATCAGGAAACGTCAAAAATTGACTCTCCACGCCCCTCATCTGCAAGACATTGAAGGCACTAAGTCCCTCCGCAATCGTCAACCGATAATCCCGTTCGTTATGGATAACCAAGTGGGGTGTTTGCCAGTTGCCTGTGAATCGGGACGGATCCCACTTGTCCCAGTTTTCTGGGACTTTCCAGTAGGGGCCCTGGAGGTCTCGAACAGGGAAGTAGAGCTCTTCAGTGCTCAACAGTGCCCGCATACTGAAGATACCATCATGAGTCACAAGAGCCTTGAATCGGCGACCAAGGTCATGTCCCTGGATCCAGTTCACCATATACCCACCGTATGACGCCCCCAGGGCCACAGCTCGAGTTGTGTCGACATAGTCCAGGTTCTTCTCAATATAGTCAAATCCCTTTTCGAGATCGATGTAGGGTCGTTCTCCCCAGGAACCACAGATTGCATCTGTAAATGCCTGTCCGTAGCCGGTACTGCCTGTGGGGTTGGGAGTGATGACCACATACCCTTGCTCAGCAAAAACAGCGGGATTCCAGCGCGTGCTCCACTGATCATTCCATGCTCCTTGCGGACCTCCATGAATGAGATAAGCGAGGGGATATTTGTTCCCAGGCTTGAAGTCGGATGGCTTCACAACCCAGGCATGCACGGGGTGGTCCTCAGCTCCCCTGAACCAAATTTCATCGACCTGCGCTGGAGACAGTCCAAAGGCAGCACCGCCACGAGACAGTGAAGATATGACCTTGGGGCTCTCGGGAGACTGCGGGTCGACAATCGTCCACCGGCTGTTTTCTACCAAGCTGTTGCTCGAGACCAGTAGCTTGGATGATTTGGCTGATGCAGGGAACACATCAGTCACATACCCCGAGTGTGTCAGCTTCTTCAGCGCAGAGGGGCGAGAATGACGGAAGTTAGCTAGGGGAAGCTGGTATAGAACACCACGGCCATTTTCCTCCACTTGAACGAAGAGGGACTGGTCGTCGTTTGCGAATGTCACGGCTGATGGACTTAGATGCCACAAACCCTCTCCATCCGGGGACGCGAAAGCTTCTATCATCTCTCCACTCCACGGGTTGGGCACATAGAGTATTCTGTTCTTGTCAGACTCATAACCATCTTCCCTCATTGCAAGGAGAGCGATAGAGCTGCCATCTGAGGAGAGGACGGGGGAAGACATGGCTCCTTCAAGGCCCTTGACTGCATATATCTTTTGAGACTCCAGTGCAGTCACACTAGTCCAAGAAAACATCGGACAATAATAACACGAGCAGGTGGTGTGCGTGGCAGGGTTCTCATTAGGATCCTTAGCTACGAAGACAATTGCGGAGGGGCTGATGTCAAAATCTCCAGAGCCCCCAAAAGGTGGGATCGGCGATTCAACACCGGTTAAACCGCATACTGATATCAGGTTGGTTAATCCCGAAGTTGAGTACTTGCCTGCATGTCTAGTAGCAGGGGTCAGCGGGGCTTGTTGTAATAGGCCGTACCAGATCGAATTCCTCTGGGGTTCGATGTACGAGTCCCAATGCCTGACATATAATGAGGAGTACAGTTTCCCGGTAGTGTGAGGCTTTTTAGCATCATGAGGGTTATAAAGGGACCCATCCGGATTCGCCTGGCCAGTTACAGCGAACCCAATCTTTCCCGGCTCAATGGTGGTGACCTTGAGGTTCGCCACTGGTCCAGGGACTGTTCCAGCAGTGTATGTCTTGCCTGCCTCTCGAGCATGCCCGATTATGAAGCTCGTATTGCCGTTTGCCTTTGTTTTGAGCCATATTAAACGGTCATCGTTCCCTAGCCACTGAGGAGAGCTCGCACTTGGATCATTTGTGATGAGAGAAGATCGGCCTGTGGTGATATCCACTACTCGTATTTCGTTGGTTTTGGCATGCGACTCAAAGGAGTAGGAGGTCTGGGTATACACAGCCAAAGTGCCGGATGAATTGGGCACAGCAGCAGACCGCCGAGGAGCTCCCAATAGGAGCCTAAAACAGTCACCAAGTTAACAATCTGTTGAGCCAATAGGTACCGGAAGGACAATTGAGATATGCGCTTGCATTTCTGTGCTCCTGACAAGAACAGCGAAATGGGGGACTGTGAACTTACTCTGGTGTGAACTTCATTGGACGAATGGTCATGACAGATCTCCAATTAACTATAGGACAGTAGGTACCCACTGCTGGGCCGCACGTAGGTAGGTTTATAAGAAAGGAGCTATATAGATGATAGAAGAGAAAGTGGAGGATCCGTAGATGGTGATGAGAGAAATTTCAGGGAGGTTTCGAAGGGAAGAAGCAAAGGAGACCAGGTGGCGTGAGAGGGAGAAAAGGCGGACCTTGTTGGAGAAGCAGAGCATTAAATGCGGAGATCATGGGATGATGGGTCACGCTGCGCTATCCCCACTTGGTCCCCATCGACGCTAAACTGAAAATCATCCATGTCAATCCACCGGAACCCGAATTGGGTAATGAGCTACTGATACGTAGTGCACATGACTCAAATCCTAATCCTAGGAATGATGTACCTCTAGATGTTTTTTTTCTTTTCTTTCCACATTACAGCTTATAATTACACAAACATGGACCAAGGTAAAGTCATCATACAAAGGTCAACCCTAGAGTGCCGAATAAATCAAAATATCTCTTCATGAATTTTCGTCTTTACTCCTCGTCTTCTTCGCTCTCGTCTTCCTCCATCCCCTCGGCGGCGGTGACATTGAAAGTTGGCGCTTGGTCAACACCCACATAGCTGTCACTCATCAGGTACAATGTCAATTCATGGTCGCCAGGGGTAGGAACGATGTATTCGAGACGTAACTCCAACTTCCGCCCAACGGTAACTCGTTTGATCGCAAGCAAGCTCTTGGTCTTCTCATCTCCCACGACCAACCACCAGTTCTCCATCTTCTTGTTGGTGTAGAAGGGCGCGTGCACCGCCATATCGGGTTCCTCATCTTCGTCGACTTCCCGTTCGATCTTGACCTTGAGGTACGCAGGCTCGCCAGCAGTAATATCGTCCGGATCCTCGACCTGGAAGTCGATATCAATGTTGGGGTATTTGTCGTTGGTGAAGGCTGCTGCCTGTGCCAATTGCTTGTTGTCAAGACCAAGACGTTTGACCAGTGTAGCGTAATCCTTGTTCTCCGACGGGTCCATGGCTTCCATAAACTCGAAGATGTCGTTGATGCCAAACTCATTAGCCACCTTAATCACTTCAGGGCTGAAGTGAGGGATCTGCTTGAGAGGGCTATCCCGATCCCACATGGCCTGGACAACCATCTGGGACATCTCCATAGCGTTCATAGCATTCAGATGGCCTTCCGAGGAGAGAACGTCCACACACGCGCTAAGCAAGTTGAGAACCTTACTAACAATGATTTCTTGATCCTTCGCCAGGTCGATGGTGAGTTGCATGCGCGAGAAGTGAGCTTGCAGCAAAACAAAGGCCTTGAAGTGTGGTGAGTCGTACGCAACCTGGGACATCTTGACTGGCACCCGGTCGTACACACGGCGCAGAATGTGGTCTTCGTGACGACGCATCTGGATGGACTCGAACTCCGTAGCGGATGTGATAATCTCCAGAATACCCTTGAGTTTGGTACGAGCCGACAAGGAGAGGAGGAAGGTCTGCATTGTGATGAAAGAGATATTGTAGTACGCTGCGATCATGGCGGCATTAAGAGGCGAAACACTATCGTCTTCTTCATCCAAATCGATGATCTTGGCTTCGGAAAGTTCCTTCAACGTGTTCTCTACAAGCTCCGACAAGAAGGTGCTGAGGCCCTCGTAGCTGACATCAGTGAGACCGTAGAAGCTGGGGTTAGCCAGGAGGCGGCGGTAAAAGTATGTGTGCGTCATCCAGTCGACGGCATCCTGGGTAGAGGCAACGACTTTAGTGCTGATTTCAGTAACGAAAGCATCATGCAAGTAAGCCTGCAAATGGCTCTCCACAGGAAGCGCCTCATTAAGGAACTTCTTGTAGTATTCGCGTTTGACCGACGGAACCATGAGCACGCCTCGGCCGATCTTGTCTTCGCCAGGGCGAGAGGCCTTGCCAAACATCTGCAGAATTTCGCTGATAGGATAGTCGATATACCGATGTTCGCGGCCTTCAAAGAACTGCGTTCCCATGACGATTACCAAGTGTGCCGTGAGATTGAGCTCCCAGCATACGTCGCGTGAAGCAAGGAGCACTTGAATAGCACCAATTGAGAAAAGGTGGGAGACAATTCGCTTGTCAGTAGGACTCAATGCCTCGTGATAGTATCCGATACCGTGAGACAGTGACTCAGCCAAGGTCTGCTCCTGGACCCGGTTAAGTAGTGGTGCCAATTCGTTCACATCGGCATTCAGGAATCGGTCTTCATCGTCATCGGTAGCACAAGCGGCCAGCAGATCCATGGCGGTAGAACGGGTCTGCTTGCGGTTTGGCACGAAAATGATTGCGGGCTTGTCTGGTGAGAGCTGCAAGATCGAAGAATACGCCGGTCTGGCCATCGCCAACATGAGGGAGGGGAAATGAGGGATGCTAAAAGACTGGATATGGAGTTCCAGGGGAACTGGACGGGCATGCGGGCTGAAGTTGTAGATGGTATGTTTGTTGGCACCAATCCATTCGC